GAATGTTCTATAAATGACTTAAGCAATAAAGAGCTATGAGTTTTATTTGAAACAATAACTTTAATGAAATAATTCATGAACATTTATTAATTATTTCTTAAAAGTAATCCAGGTTTTATCATTTTTTTTAGTTTTAATAATAATATTTTTTTTTATAATATTATTATATATTATATACAAAATATTTATAAATTAAAAAAAGCTTCATGATTTCATGTGTCAAATATTTTATTATACGTATAGTTAATATATATATATATATATATATATATATATATATATTTATTTAAAAATTAAAAAATATTAATTAAAAGTATTAAATCATATTAAAAAAAAGTATTATTAAAAAATTCTATTTTCGTAAGATATATATAATTGTTAAAAAGAAAAAGAAAAAAAAAAGAAGAATTTGTATCATTAAGGTTAGTCCTAAAGCTTGTTCGATGAATTTTTTTTTCTTTTTAAATCAGATTGATTGAAATATCTTCTTAATTGAAAAAAAAAAAAAGTCAAAAATTCTATTGATTTACTATTTCTCAACCATTATCTTATATACTTTTTTTTTCTTCTTTCTTCCATTATAATATTTTATAATAGAATAACAATATAATTCTGTTTTTTTTTTTTTATTATTAATCTGTTAATATTCTGTTTTATTTATTAATATAATTTTTCAATGTACCTTTTTATTCTCTTTTGTCTTTTTCTTTTTCTTTTTTTTTTTTCTTTTTTCTTTTTTTTTTTGATAAACTTTTCTTTCTGTTCTTTATCTTTTACTAAGAAATATCATATCCTTTTGATTTATAATCGACATGTATTTTTCTTATTTTTCTTTTGTATTTATTTTTATTTATATTTTTTTTTATTTAGTTTAATTTTTCGATTTTTTATGTATACGTACCACGAGAGTAACGTAGGACGAAAGACCCAATCTAATGCTATTTTGTACGAGATCCAAGAGTATTACAACGTTGAAAATCTTTTCTATAGATTTTACCATCCTACGGATTGCAATGGCAAAGTTATAGAAAAAAAAAAAAAAAAAAAAAAAAAAAAGAAACAATCGTAATAAAATTTTTAACAAAAGAGATTTTTACATTAAATATCCATGACTGAAACATTTGTGAACATAAGTGAAATACTTTTAACATAATAGTTTGAATGTATGATTTCTATCGAGTGATCTTTCTCTTTTTTTTTTTTTCTTCTCTTTTCTTTTTTTTTTTTTTTTTGATGAAAGATTTTTAATGATTATAATTTGTCCTTTTAAAATCATATACTTTTCACGAATAATAATATTTTTCAGTCGACAACAATAAAGACTTTCGATAGAAATATAATATAAATAATGAAAAATAATATTTTATAATTTAAAAATTATATAATATATATAATGATTTATTAAAAATTTATATATTAAATTAAATATAACATATATAACATTTCTATATTAAATTAAATGTAACATATTATAATTTAATATATTGTATATATATCATGATAAATATAATATGTATATTATATTAAATATAATATAATTACATGAATGTTATACATATATATACATAAGAAAAATTTATTATGATATATATTATATATATATCATAATAAATATAGTATTATATGCATATATATATTATATATTATATATTATATATTATATAGTATATATTATATATTATATATTATATATTATTTATTATATATTATATATTATATATTATATATTATATATTATATATTATACATTAAATATTATATATTATATATATACATAAATAAATTATAATACTGTAATATATTATATTCTATACACATAATAAATATAATATTATATATATCAGCATATATAATATGATTGTGTATTATATTATATATAATATATATACTTTTATGTTATATGTAAGATATATATTATATATATTTTACATATATTATATGTATTATATAAATATATATATATGTATAAGTATATATATTAGTATATACAATATGATTGTGTATTATATTAAATATAATATATATATACATGTATGTTTTATATATATATATGAAAGAAAAATATATATTATATATGTACATTTCTATATTAAATTAAATATAACATGTTATAATTTAATATATTGTATGTATATCATAATAAATATAATATATGTTTTATATTAAACATAATATATATACTTTTATGTTATATATATATATAAGATATATATTATATATATTTTATATATATATTATATGTATTATATAAATATATATATGTATAACTATATATATTAGTATATACAAAATGATTGTGTATTATATTAAATATAATATATATACTTTTATGTATAAGATATAAATTATATATATTTTATATATATATTATATGTACTATATAAATATATATATATATATGTATAAGTATATATATTAATATACACAATATGATTATGTATTATATTAAATATAATATATATATATATATATATATTTGTTTGTTATATAATAAGATATA